CAAATGGATCACATTTCAATCGATAGTATTAAATTATTAATATAGTATTTACTTGAAACTTTTTTAATAATATATATTCAAAAACGAAATATTAAAAAAAAAATAATCTCTGTAAAAGTAAGACCAATACCAATATAAAATATGTTAACAGATATTAAACTTTTTCCCTTTTTCTACTGATTTTTTGAAAGGTTACGTTAGGTTATCGACTGAACATTGAAGAATAACCTATGCAAATTGATTATTTTAGATTTTTAATTTTTAATCTCAACTCATATTAGATGCTGAGTGGGGTGATAAAATATGTATTTTTAACTTAATATAATATTCTGTTGTACAATATTTGTGTAACTGATATTTTGTAATCATATTTACCTATATATTGAATTCAGCTTATGATTTATAGTCGTCTTAACTTTATTCATTAATTGAGTGAAGTGGCGAAGTATAATCTCCCAAAATATTGTTGACTATCACTTAATATAATCTATGAACTTTGAATGAGTATCAATAATATCAATTCGTCTTTAATAAAATTCCATAATTTTTAAACATTAACATTTTAATTAAATGATTTTGTGCTACAGAATTCAAGATTAAAAAGTTTAACTATGTATTAAAATTGTTTAAAAATCCCACAAAATCGATACCTATGGTAAAAATTAGTATAAAATTTCAAAACTAAAAGTACAAATGAAAAAAATAAAAGTATGATTCATAATATCTGAAATACTTGAATGTCAAAATCGAATATAATATTTCAACTCTTTACAAACATGATAAATTATCATTATTTTAATGATCCAACTGTGGAAGCAATCTTCGGTCTGAATTTTTTTCTCTGATTAACGTGATGATCTATAAATTGATCGTTGATGTCAATCTGTATCATAATAATTGTTCTTTTGATATGTTTTTTTTTTAAATGTTGGTTTTCAGGATTTGTATAACTAGATATTATATTTAAGGATCATATTTCCAATTGTTTAGATTTGTATAACTTTTAAAAAATGTCAAGTGACGATAAAAACTTCTTTCATTCAAATGGGAACTAATTTTTTTTTACTGTAAAATTGATTAGTCTGATAAATTTAAAAAAATATATTTGTGTATCCAAATCAAAATTTAAAATAGTTATTGTTAGTGTGTTAGGTATTTAACTGTACGTTAAATCATAATAGGTTCATGATTATAATTGGTTGGAATTACAAAAGATCCAAAATTTATTATTCTTTTCAAAACCATTTTTAAGGATTATAATATTATCTTAACATTGTATAAAATTCATTAAATTGAAATTTACTAGTTCGAGTTTTGTTTTAGATACATTAATATTTTATAAAAAATCATCTGCTTAAAAATGTACAGTATACATAAGGTTGGTTCTCATTTGAAAAATAGAAGGTTCTATCCGCGCAAGACATAAAAATTTAAATATTCCAAAATTTGATTAAATCCATTATTCAAGATAAAAAATGGGGGTAAGCGCTTAGTATATTCAATTTTTTGACATAATATGGAGTAAAGAGCGATGAATATATTGATTTTACAACAATGTGTATTTTCTCTTTTTGTCTATCATCACATTTCAAGGAAATAAAAATACTTCATTTTTGAACTTTGGGTATGGGTTTTGGTCGTAAATTTGATAAATAGTTATTTGATACATAGATGAGGATAAAAAGGTAAAGCAAATAAAAAGCAAAAAAAAAAAAAAATACGGAAAACTGACAATTTAATTCTAAACTAATATTTGTTAAAATTTTAAAACAAATAACGGTAGAAACTTGAAGTTTTTACTAAATATTATATTTTATAATTATTAAAATATGTTAACTCTTTTTGAGTTATTTATAGACAACTGGATTTTTTTATTTATTTATTTCAAATGCTAATAAAAACATTTTCACTTAGTCAAAAAGCTAAAAAATGTAAAACTAGGTTTTTTTTTATAAATTGTTATTTGAAACTGGAACCAATTTCGTAGTAGTCAAATAGAATCAAAACATTGTTATAATACCTAATATGATAAGGTGTTGCGGTATCGTTCAGGTGGAATAGATATGTAATACGGGCATGGCGATGTATATACTATATGAACTCGAATGTCGGTGAGATATCGATGTGTCTATTTACTCTATGTTTTATCTACTAGATAACGGACGACTAGTCACTAAATATATCATGGTCTATTGTATAATACAATGATTCAGATCAAACAACCTTATTATAATACATACGCTATTCAAGAAAGTCCAAATGTTTATATAATTTATCGAATATACCTAAAATATGTGTATTGTAAATGGTATATTCGTGTGACATTGTTTTTATTCAATAGATTTTCTGTAAATAAAATAAATCTTAATCTTTTAAAAAATACAATTCGCTAGTTACACGTTAAAAACACTGTAACACGAACGCGTACGAAATCGGTTTATATACAATATATTATGTCTGTTATTAAATGTAGTATAGTGTATTGTACTTCGCACGTATCACAATACTCGCAAACGCAAGTGTTGCTTATTATTAAGTGTGGATCGTGGGTAAATAGTATACTATTGCAACATAATATATAAGTAACTGTTGCCCCAAAATAATATAATACACGCCTGATTTGGTTGTCGTTTTTGCCTGCAGACGCGGTGTATCATTCCTTTTTCGATTTAAAATTATTGTTGGGTTTTCAAATTTTCTCGCTTTCAAACTAGGTTTATATAATATTACATATATACGCGTGTGTCGTACATACGCACGTTCACACGTTCAGTGTGTATAGGTCATTAGTAAATGTATTATTCCGTATTCAATTCCGGCATAGTAATGAATTTCAAACGATTTTAGACGTGTTCCAATTACGGTTTTCCAATTTCACGTAATTTAATTAAATTAATACATCGAAGACGTTTAGACGAATTTGTTCTTCTAACTTATGTATCGTTATCTTATCCACGCCTATTTAACTAATAACGGTGTAAAAATAAAAAGCATACATAATTAACTATAATATTATAGGGCTATAGTATTTGATACTCGATCGATGAGGTTTATCATCGAGATGCATACATAAATGCAAAGATAGAGCAAAAAATGTCTATACCTCTTCTGATTTAATTATCAGTCATTAAATTATGATAATGTAAATTTAAAAAAGTGAGATAAAAAAAAAATAATAATTAAAAAAAAAAAACTATTGGTAAATTTATGTAAAATTTATTGAAAAATATTATTTTGGTTTAATATACATTTTTAAATTTTCATAAATTAAATACAAAATTTATCATATTTAATTGTCTACCTTTTAAAAATATTTGTTTAATGTTTTATACGATATTTGCGTATGAATGTTTTTCTCTGTTTTTACTATCTATCTCTGAAATATTAAATAAGAGACCTCAAATAATCAATTATAAATGCTAAAAACTCTTTTTATGTAGGTAATAATAAATACTCCTCTCTAAATCTCAAACTCTCCGGAGAAACTATAAAAGTCAATTTCAATTAAAATACAAACCTTCCGAAATATTTATAATTGCTCTAAGGAACTTACAAATCTCCATCTTAATTATCAAATTACACACTTCATACAGATCTAAATCTTAAAACATAAAACAAAGAAGCCAAGTATTTTACGTTAGAATAATTTCTCATACAAATCTACTTATTAAAAACTTAGCCAATGCTATAATATTCAGTAATCCTTCTAGGTGATTAAAACGTAGATATTATTGAGATCTCTTAAGTAATTAAAATGTGTATTTAAACAAGTTGAATGTATCAATACTGAATGGCTTCTTTCATCAAAATGCATGTTTTTCTACTCTAAGTCTATTTTCTTATTGTGTCAATTAACACCAATTGTAAATTACTTTAAAAAAGAGAGAGAGAGAGAAAGAGAGATCTTTAATAAATTTATAAATGTTTGTTAGTCGTATATTCTAAATATTATACAGGTAATACCAAATTATCATGTATTGTATGGCAGGGGAAAAATTTAGAATTAGGATTTCAATAGTAGTAAAAAAAATTTCCTGATAAAAAATAAACATATTTTTTAATTTTGACTTTCATCCTTATAATATATACAAAGTAAGTGTTACACGATCGCATATTTGGACTTTACAACATTCAGTTGAATATAATATACTTTAAAAATCTGAAATCTAATTGGCTTCGTAAAGTCTCACAGAATCGTGTTTCTGGTATATATTAAAATGGTTAAAATTAAATCGGTTTGATGCATTTTACTGTTTTTCGAGACGGAGAAATAAATACGATATATAAAGCGTGCTTTGAAAAATAATTTCTTTGTAATTCACTACAACCGTTTCAGGAAATTTTACATACTATTATGTATTTTAATTTATCTGTTTGAATTGGTTCTAATCGGTGAAACCTATTGATCAAACTATACTGTTTTAGCAACACGATTAAGTACTTAATTTTTCAATCAATATTCACATTGCAAATATATTACATCATTACAACCATATATAAAATAAATTGGAAATAAAGTAAAAAAAGTTCAAGGTATAACAGTTTTAGTGTAGGATATGACCATTTAACTGAGTTATTTTTTAACTTGTTCTGTGTATTTTGTATTATTGTTTTGCAAAAAAAAAAAAATAATAAATGTAACATCATAAAATGTTTTATGCTCATAATTGAGAAAGTTTTTTCTGTTATTTACTTACATATTTTTAATGTGCTAACAAATTTGCTAAATCGTGATGTAAAAAAAGGGGTTTATATTAAATTTTATAATATCCGATTTAATAATCGAACAACTGATTTTACATGAAAATTTCACACTGATAATACACATGTTCTTGATAATTTCTTACAATCATTATAACGCATTTTAAATCAATAAAATTATTTTAATGGAAATTTGATATTATATAATATTAATTATCATACACTTTTTCAATATTTAATTAATGTATAATGATATTATGTATATATCAATACAATTTAAAAACATTATTGTTTTTCAGTGATTTTAGAAATTGAAGATCGCGAAAAATTTTTGTCTGACATGGATGACTTGGGGCAAGGATCCAAGTACAGTGCCTCTATAATTCATGAAATTTGTGACAGAATAAAAAAACTGGAAGTGTTTGTCACTAAAACTGCCTGTAGTTATAGGCAGGCAGACGTGCTGGGCATTGCAAAAAAATATCGAATACCACTGGGATCACCAAAAACACTACCAGGATCGTTATCAATTATTTGAATGATGTATTAAATTCTACCAACCTAAATAAAAAAGTTTTGATCGAATTATATCATTTAATTCAATAGGTTTTTTTAGCATCAAGCTGAAAACTAATTATAATAATAGTGTTGTTCGGCTACTATACGTCTAAACATAACAAATTTAAATATAAATTGAAAAAAGGCACAAAATGTAAATCTATTTTGTTGCTTTTATTTAAAATGTATGTAAATTTTGACTTGAAATAAACATATACTTGTAAATATAATTATAATTACGCCTTTAAACAGCATATCGTATATATTATGTCTCTGAAAAAAATTAATAACTTTTAATATCAATTTTGAGATAAAAAATGGTGAAATAATGTATTTTTAATTAACTATCAGTTTTAATTTAATTATTATATTTTTAAGTATTTCCTGTGAAACTTTAGAAATTGAATATATAAACATATTTCTTATTGGACACCTAATTGAAGCACTTCATAAATAGTATAATTATTTTAGATGCAAATAATATTAATAAGGTAATTCATTTTTAAAACATTTATAATATTATTTTATATTCTCAAAGAACCTATGCAAAATATTTGATTTCTTTGAATTATATTCCATATGAATTATAATGATTAATCCTGTTCAACTGCATAGACTTAAACACAATCAAACATAGATAAGACATACAATTTATGCATTTGAAAAATAATTAATTACCTAATAAGATACAGTAAATAAAATTACTTTATATTTTTACGTTTCACAATATATTTTTAATGTTAACAATGATATTCAATATTCAGTTTTCCAAAGAAAAATAATAGGTAATACTGTTATAGCAGTCATTTTATTTACATTTATTTTTTACTTTCTTCTAAAATGTTATTAAATTTGAATATACAGTAAAACTATAGGTGTATTTTTAAGGAATTACTTAATTTATCCATTTAATGTATTTTATATGAGTACTTAAAATTATAATATTACAACTGTAATATCATAGTGTCAGATATATTATATTTAACAAAAATAGAGTTTTACCAATTTTGTTTTTAAATTTTATAGATTAAAAATTGATTTAACATAAATGTGATTTATGATTATAATTATTCATATTATATTCTGTTTATAGTTTTTAGAATTTAGATACACATTATTATTATCCTTATTATTGTAATTCGTTACTGATTAATCAAAGTACCAATCCATCGAACTATCAAAGTATAGTTGTTACATTATGTGGTTTTTATACCTACTTAGTTTTAAGTGAATTAAAAAAAAAAAAAGTTTTATAATATACACGACATACACGTAGGTATTAAAAACAAAAATAAAAATAATTTAAATAACTTACAAATTAGTATATAAAACAAATTATAGAAAAGTGTTTTTTTATGATATATATATTATTGTATTTTTAAAAAATAAATTGTACGTACACTTTAAAAATTATTATGTATTTATCTAAAATTTACTTTTTTGTGTAGGTAGGTTTTTTTTATAAAATATCGTATAAATATTTAAAAAAAAACTTTAAAAAATAGTATTTTATAGTTATAAGCTATATTAAGTTCACTAATATGGCACTAAAACAACTGTTAAAAAACTGTTAAAAGTGATCACATTCTATTTATTTATAATTATCTTAATACAAAAATATTATTCATTGCGAATACTTAACTAATACTTTTATGTATACTTGTTTTTATAATTTCATTATACATTAATTAAATTCAAAACCTAAGTAGTCTGTAATTTTAATGCAATTATTACACCTTTTTTAATGACATAATTGTGTAAAGAATATTATATAATAATAACAAGTAATAATGATTTTATCGTAAGTTATATAACAACTCGCGTTTCAAGTTCATATAACCATAAATATTTAAAACAATTTTGAAATAATTTTATTAACAAATACTGTGTCCTTTTTAATTTTTCAGAAAACCTAGTATAATTATACTTAATGTTTAGAAAAATTACTTAAATATGTATATAATTTACCATTTTACGGCTTTTAATAATTAGTTTACTTAAAATTAAAATAACATTTCATATTATACATATTTTAATATAGGTACTTACTATATAAAATGTCAAGTTCATGCTACGATGTTATATATTCTTACTAGCTTTAAAATAATATTTAAACCATGATAATATAACAATTATTTTAAAGAAGTTAGATATATTGTATGATATTTATTGTAATAAAAAATAATAGGTATATAACATATTATGTTAAATTATACATAATTACGAAAAAAAAAAAATATAAATTTTTTTTACTATGCATTCTATTCGAACTAAGTTGTTGTATGCACGCTAACATAGTTAACCAACGACTGAATGTATATTATAGTATTTTATTATTTTTTAATGTTATTTTTTACACAATCCTGTGCACTGTATGGGTATTAATAATCATGGATACTACTAAAGAATGGTTTGACTCGTATTTTTTCTTGCAATATTAAAAAGACAAACACAATGTAATTAAATTTTTTGTTTTATATTAACAAAATACAATTTCACTTTATGCAAATAATTGTCTGAGTAACGTCGTTTCTATTCATATAATCATATCCGTGGGGATGATTATAGGTAGTATCTTTTTTGCAACAGTCTAATCATTTCTTCTATAATCCTCTACCTCCCAGCCGTCAAACAGTAGCGACTATATATTTTTTTTTTACCTTTCCTATTCCTTATAACTGCTGGATAATACCGTCTCAAGTCTTAAATGTTACAATAACTAGATACCGACAATATAATACTTAAGTAACTATAATTACGACGACGGCGGTGATAATACAATAGAAATAATAATAATAATAACTTTTATAATAAATATTATACCGTTGATTAATGCGTGTGTCTTACATCTGGCGAGAGCATATTTTATATATATATATAAACAGTGACGGTGTATCAACAAAAGGGTTTGCGGTTGCGGCGCGGTGGCGGTGGTCACGCCCAAGCCCGTTCATTCATAATCGTGGTCGGGTCGTCGGATAGGTGTGCGGCGGCGATGCGATTCCCTCTACACCCGCTAGGAGTTAGGAAGAGCGGCGGAAAAGGATTATACTATCGTTGTGAATACAGACGTTATATATAAGCACAAGAAGACGAGAATATATATAAATAAATAAATGACAGCGATGGTGATGTTAATGACAAGGGCGAACCTGCAGTGACTCGACGTAATTATTGTGGAGCGCGCGCGGTTTAATTGGTCAGCGAGCCGGTGGCCGTATAGGTTAGGTAGGTGCTTATATATATACATATTGTTAGGGAAGTTTATAGGATAGGTCGCTTTTAATGGTTTATCGTGTAATATAATGTGTAGCTGGGTAGATAGGAATTGCAGCCAGACGAGTAATACGGTCCACCGTGCTGGTACAGGGTGTTAAAGGTATTCCATAAAAAATATCCTGATTTAAAAACGATAAATTTAATAAAATATTACACTTAAACAATAATTGAAGTCGGTACCAATCACAAAACTGAAGACCATCGAGTATCTCTTCCTTCACCCGAATGGCGGTTTCATAACGATCGAAGCGGTAACTATACTCGTCCCGAACCCCGAATAACGTGTGTCTGCAGTTAAATACAATCCTCTAGATTCTTTCTCTCGTTATTTTCAAGAGTTGTTGGCTATAGTAGTGGAAAAATTTTAGAGACTCACTTGCAGATTCATTTAACTACTGTAGATAGATCACGCTACGATCAAGACCAGTGAAGTGGTGATTTTAAGAAACCCGGGGCTTAATTATGGTCTTATGAAACACCCTGTATAATATATATGGTGTGATATATTTCTAGAAACAGAAGTGGGAACGGATGGCGAATGTGACCGCATCGCGCCCTTGACGAAAAACCGCATCTACACCGTTACGCGCGATAATTCGAGTGGACGCATATTAAACGGGAGACCGTTTGTCAAAACTGCCGTGCACGTGCGCCATCTAATTTGCAGTGTCCTATACTACGTAGTATAAATCCCTCGGAAATCCTTTCGGAACAAAAACGTCAACCCGAGGCTATCGCTCGTTGTATATTACATACTTAAATTTAGTAGGGGCACCTATAATAAGACTTCGAAGGTCTTCATTTTTGATTCGGCCTTTGGGTTGCCGCAAGATATTTCCATACCAGTAAGACGATTCTATCCTTTCCAAACGCAAATCCATCTCGTGCCGTAAAGAAGCAGCTTACATAAGTACGTCAATATATATTCCACCGGGAAAGCATAGGTATATAACATCGGTGGCAAATTTGTAGCTTACGAAACATGTGTGTACCTCTTGTCATTGTCAAATATTGGTCGCGTCTTATTTTTAAAATTAAAATTTACTTACTATTATAATAATGAGTTTTATTTTTAAGGTATACATTTATAAAAAAATTATCAAATTATATAAAATATATACAAGTTTGGGCTCATGATATTATTGTAAACACTATGCGGCCCGAGAACCTAATCATGTTGGCCACTCCTGGTTTATAATATAATATTAATATTAATAGCCAGATAGGTTTTTAATTATTATCGATGACATTTTCATCCGTTTGTAATGTTGTAATATAATATTAATTGTACCTATTTTAAATCACAAAATATATTTTCAAAAAGGTAAAAAAATTAGCATAATAATAATTGTATAATTAATCGATTGAGATTTAAATAGGTATCTAACCCATAGGTTAAAAGTATTCTGACGGTATAGTATCAAAATATAATACAATTTAATGGTTTTAGATTGATAAATTTACCGATTAATAGTTCATTATTATAACTATACATTATACTATGTCTAATATGGTTTTGACATTTTATTATGATAACTTATAAACAATTTTTTTCATAATTATAGTTTAGATTAAATTAATTTTTGAAAAATAATAATTGATCTCTATTTAATAAAATAATTCGTGTCATATTTATATCGTGATATTATGTTTATAACACATTGTTGACACAACATTACTAAAACGTTGAGCTGTAAAATTAAACTAAACCTTCCATTATAGCCCATTTGGTTATCGTTTTTCTCAGACGGTTCTCATTTT